AAATTTACGGCACGCAGCTGAGCCAGTAGGCCGCTACGCACGGAAAGCAATGCAGTGAGGAGAAGGCGATGCGTGACTTAGAAGTGCGACGTAGGCGGTGGATTGATTGTATATAACCAGCAATGCGTCTATCTTTTGAATATAAAAGCCATTCTTCTTGACAAATCAGTCAGCCAGTAAGCCTCTTAAGGGTGGAATTCAGAAGTAAAAAGGAATCAGTGACATTCGAAGCTTATTTGCTAGTCTTGCATGGCATTGCCAATTAATGACGCGCAGAGTGCTGCATCTTTGGGCGCTGCTGCTGCTGCTTTCCTGTAGCCGAGTGATAACTTGGGTTCGAAGGCAAAAAATCCTAAATTACACCCATCTGTTTCAAAGAACTATTCGTGTGGGTCCGAAATAGGGGGAAATATCACTTAATAAATCAAGCCCAACCGGTAGACTGCACGCATCCTCACTAGTCCCTACGAGCTCTAACGCGAGATAACAGTAGTTTCTGGCATGAATCGCTTAAGTTTCTCACAGCTTCATAAAATTTTGCCTTAATTTAACTCGAAATGAACAACAGATTCATGGAAGCAGGTTATCTCTTTTACAGTGAATGCCTACCCATTGACAAAGTTACTGGAATTAATAAACTGCTCGCACTCGAATATTTAAAACTAATTGCCAGTCCTTTCTGTCAATTTAGCTTGGGAGACTAATTACTCTGAAGGTTGTAAGATCTTTCGTGGCCACTTCCATCGTTTGCGCAACATCGAATTCAGCTCCATCGCACTTGAGACAGGAAATGAACTACTGGCGGTCTCCGTCGACTGGACGCGGGAAGGTATGCTTAAAAAGACAAGCACAACTAGCTTCGACTTTAAATTATTGCAGGGCATTAAATTGCGAATTTGGATTTTAAGGTGTCTCCAGCGAATGCCGGGAATGTGCGGGTAAGATGATTTCATTTATTATACTTCAAAATTTTACATTTAAATTGCAAGTCAGCTAGTCAGTTTTGCAGACTCTCTTTCTTTTTTCTCAACTTTTCTTCTGCTCTTATTCGCCTTATCTTTACTTTCTCGTTCTTTCGTTAAAAGTTGACTTTGCCCATTGACATTTGTTCACTTCGAGTCATTTGTGACATACTTCATTCTCATTGCAAATTTGTGTACAGGGAAAAAAATTGTAATAAGGTCTTATTTTAACGTGTTGGAGTGCTTCTATTTGATGACAAACTTATCTG